TCTAACCACAGTTCCTATTCCTATACAGCCAATTCAGATTTAATAATAAATAAAAATAGTGACTCCATTTTTTCTTTTTTAAATTCTGTTTTTCTTTACAAGTCAGTCTTTACTGCTACAACTGCAGACAGCAGCAGTCTCTTCCTCCCACCATCTGACTGCGCTGTCAGCCTGCAGCACAGACTGATCAGGTGCAGACACAGTGGGTGAAAAAGTGTGAATGATGCACAGAGGTGTGAAAGTACAAACACTGGCAGTGTGGTTCCACATGGTGTGTGTGTGTGTGTGTGTGTGTGAGTAGAGCTGGAGAAGAAGAACAGGTCTGCTTCCTCGTTTTACAAAGCGTTGGTGTCAGGTCAAGATCAGGTGTAGAACTTTGTCCACATAAACGAGGTCTGAGTGACACAAGAAAACAACATCTTCACACCACAGTGTTCCACAAAAAGAAAGCAGTGACCTCTGAAGCTGTGAGCACACAACCTGACATGTCACGTCCTGAAGTCACAGTAATGCTGTCTTTGAAACCAGGGTGTAACGACGCAGCGCGCCGTGTCATTTCTTGGGGGATGGGCCCTGGAAGCTTCTTCTGGGCTTAGCAGCTCTTCAGCTGCACTGTACCGCCGGTGTCAGCCAAGACGTAAAGCCTTAATAGCTGACCTTCTCCCCTGCAGCTCAGCCTCCACCCTCTCACTGACCTGGACACTCACAACAATCCTCCAGCTGCCTATTTCAGTTGACTCTTATCTTTCAAGACTTGCGCAGAGGTCCCCCTGGTGTCATGATGTGAAATGGATTTTCTGTGTTCAAAATGTGATGGGGCGATACCTGCAAAGTGCAGGGTTTTTTTAAAGGCCATGGGCAATTTTGTAGACATTTGAAGTAAATGTCTTCATGCCACTGGGATCACTTTCAAAATGAAAAAAATGGAAAAACATGATTTTTTTTCCCTCATGTGAAGTTTAACAATTCACTCAGAAATCATGGAATGGGTATTTGACATTAGTGGAAATTGGTTTTGTTCTCAAAGACCCCTCACTGTTAGACCGTAAGTTCACATTGAGTGTTAAATGAAGCCTGTGCTATCAGCTGTAGAACTTCTCTGTAAAAATAAAAGCTTTATGAGAGACATTAACTGTCTGAGAACCTGAATATATTTTGTCAGGGGAAAAATCTATTCTTTAACATTAAAATCTAAAAACGCAGACTGGAACGGGTTGAATCCTGTCATTACACTTTTATTCATGACTTAATATGCAGACAGGAGGTCTATATAAATGTCTAGTCCTTGGTAATTCTTCACTTAATTATTAGATGGGTTTAATATGTCTTCTGGTTATTAGCCTTTGTGGATTATCTACCTGTAATTATGGTACTTGAAGATAATGTGATAATATTTCCAAGGGCCACAGCCCTTATATGACACCTTGTCACCCTAACTCCTGTCTGTATTTTTGCAATTTTTAGACATACTGCACCTCCCGGCCCCCACCCTAACACCAGCTCCTCTAAGCATATGCCTTGTCTTAATCCTTATCTGTTCTGTAGTCTGAGAATTCTGAACTAAATCTACTAAACTAAACTAAACTATTTACTATTGCATCTTTTTCTTCAGTCTTTGCCTTGTGGCTTTTGTGAATCTATCTATCTATCTGTCTATCTATCTATCTATCTGTCTATATATCTATCTATCTATATATTTGAGTGAGTTCAGCTTTTTGTGCCTTTAATACAACAGGTTGCTGTAAGGTGGCTACTATGATACTGGGGACCCACAGTGGGACAGCAGTAGACACACACACACACACACACTGTTGAAAATATTCTTGACTGCAGGATTATAAATAGAAAGCAGCAGAAGGCAGCGCCCCGCTCCTCTTCTCCATTGTCCACGGGACCCCGTCATCCTCATCCTCTCTCTCCACGCTTTACCTCCTCATGTTCATTCCCTTCCGAGACTTTATTTCACCGGCCTCCGTCCTCTGGTTATATTTCATCCTCCCAAACCCCCCCCACGACTCCCGAGTGTCTTCGCTGGCTGTCTGTTTATCTCCATAGAGACAGCGGTGATGCAGGGGTGTCCGTGGTTGTCATGGCGATAATATTGGAACAGTGTGGATACTTAATGAGCTTAGAGCTGCTGAAGTTAATGAAGTCCGACGGCTGTACCTGTGTGTCTGCTCCACTGGCAGCAGAGAGAGAGCGGCTGCTCGTTAAAAGTCTCCTCTCGTGATTTCACTGCACTGGTCGAGTGTCCAGGCTCCTGTCGAAGTTCCTGCTGTGAGCGAGTAACCTAATGAGCTCTGCAGACCAAACAAAGAGGAGGAGACTCGTCGGCTTTTTCCTCTTAGAAAAGAATAGAGAGACCTTTGTTATTTGGTGCTAATTAACTTCTGAAATAATGAGAAAGGGGAAGAGGAAACCTACAGAGCTGTTAGTTCACCTGTGAATCAAAGCAGAGCGAGTGACAACAAGTGAGGAGCGTGGACCTCAGGGTACCTCATCGATTGTGATGATTCAATTATTTTAAAATGATGATGAAACCATAATGCCAATAACAATCAATAACTATATTTGTTTATCCTGTAGCAACAAAACATATTACTTAGTAACATTTGCTTTTATTAAAGGAGCATTCCACTTGATGTTTGACGACATAAATCTCCCTTGTTGACAAAAAAATTGTACAGTGGTAACCAAAAAAAAAAAAAAAATTCCCCCATGGAAGACATAATTCTTTCCAAAAAAAAGAGAGATCACCAACAGTTCAAATGCCATTCTCACAATAAAACTTTAAACAACAATTTGAGGAAAAAGAATGGGACACATCTTAAACGTTGAAACTTTGTGATAAGCTACACCACAGGAGTTGTGTGGAACTTATTTGCTGTTCCTTTTTCCAACATGAAAATGTTCTTGTGGGAGACCATGATGGCTGGGTTTTCTAAAGTTTATATCATGTATCTCTTGTCTACCTCATATTCTCTCTTTGATGTATGAAATCCAAAATACAGCCTTAAAGACAGGGGGCGCTGCTGCAACACTATTGTTTTTTCGAGCTGTGGCCTTGGTTCAGTTTACTAAACTTTGGTTAATGTTGTTAGGAATCTACAGGTGTTGATGCCTGTTATGCTGCTATGATGCTGTGCATGATGTTAACTTTATAGATTTTTATAGATTTAGAATTTTTTTTTCTCTCACCTCTAACCACAGTTCCTATTCCTATACAGCCAATTCAGATTTAATAATAAATAAAAATAGTGACTCCATTTTTTCTTTTTTAAATTCTGTTTTTCTTTACAAGTCAGTCTTTACTGCTACAACTGCAGACAGCAGCAGTCTCTTCCTCCCACCATCTGACTGCGCTGTCAGCCTGCAGCACAGACTGATCAGGTGCAGACACAGTGGGTGAAAAAGTGTGAATGATGCACAGAGGTGTGAAAGTACAAACACTGGCAGTGTGGTTCGGCATGGTGTGTGTGTGTGTGTGTGTGTGTGAGTAGAGCTGGAGAAGAAGAACAGGTCTGCTTCCTCGTTTTACAAAGCGTTGGTGTCAGGTCAAGATCAGGTGTAGAACTTTGTCCACATAAACGAGGTCTGAGTGACACAAGAAAACAACATCTTCACACCACAGTGTTCCACAAAAAGAAAGCAGTGACCTCTGAAGCTGTGAGCACACAACCTGACATGTCACGTCCTGAAGTCACAGTAATGCTGTCTTTGAAACCAGGGTGTAACGACGCAGCGCGCCGTGTCATTTCTTGGGGGATGGGCCCTGGAAGCTTCTTCTGGGCTTAGCAGCTCTTCAGCTGCACTGTACCGCCGGTGTCAGCCAAGACGTAAAGCCTTAATAGCTGACCTTCTCCCCTGCAGCTCAGCCTCCACCCTCTCACTGACCTGGACACTCACAACAATCCTCCAGCTGCCTATTTCAGTTGACTCTTATCTTTCAAGACTTGCGCAGAGGTCCCCCTGGTGTCATGATGTGAAATGGATTTTCTGTGTTCAAAATGTGATGGGGCGATACCTGCAAAGTGCAGGGTTTTTTTAAAGGCCATGGGCAATTTTGTAGACATTTGAAGTAAATGTCTTCATGCCACTGGGATCACTTTCAAAATGAAAAAAATGGAAAAACATGATTTTTTTTCCCTCATGTGAAGTTTAACAATTCACTCAGAAATCATGGAATGGGTATTTGACATTAGTGGAAATTGGTTTTGTTCTCAAAGACCCCTCACTGTTAGACCGTAAGTTCACATTGAGTGTTAAATGAAGCCTGTGCTATCAGCTGTAGAACTTCTCTGTAAAAATAAAAGCTTTATGAGAGACATTAACTGTCTGAGAACCTGAATATATTTTGTCAGGGGAAAAATCTATTCTTTAACATTAAAATCTAAAAACGCAGACTGGAACGGGTTGAATCCTGTCATTACACTTTTATTCATGACTTAATATGCAGACAGGAGGTCTATATAAATGTCTAGTCCTTGGTAATTCTTCACTTAATTATTAGATGGGTTTAATATGTCTTCTGGTTATTAGCCTTTGTGGATTATCTACCTGTAATTATGGTACTTGAAGATAATGTGATAATATTTCCAAGGGCCACAGCCCTTATATGACACCTTGTCACCCTAACTCCTGTCTGTATTTTTGCAATGTTTAATAGTATATATATATATATATATATATATATATATATATATATATTTGCACAGTGTGCAACCCTCTGGGGCTCTCACGCATGACGTTTTGTGTGTAAGTCAGACATGACATGCGTGATGGCAGCTTCCCTATGGAACCGTTTATCGCTTGTGAACATTTAGCCTGTAGGTGTTAGGTAAGGTAAGTGATCCATTAAGAGGGCTGATGGTTTTGAGAGAAAAAAAGCCAAAACATTATTTTGTGTCAACCAGAGCTCCAGTTACATTCAAAGTGTCACCTTTAGTAGAAGGAGGTTAACTGGTTAACCTTTGTGAAAAACTATACTCTTTTTTTCCCAGAAGGTGGCACAAAGAAGCTCCGCAGCACCATCCGGCGGAGCACAGAGACCGGCATTGCCGTGGAAATGAGGAGCAGAGTGACACGGCAAGGGAGCAAGGACTCCACCGACGGGAGCACCAACTCAAACAGCTCAGATGGAACGTGAGTGTTTTGTGGACGTGCTGTATATTTATGTAAACACACACGTACTGAACATTGATTTTAATAACATCTTCACTCTGCTCTGATTCCCCTCAGGTTTGTATACTGGGACCAGAGAGCCAGTTCAGTGACTTTCTGGATGGACTAGGCCCAGCTCAGATTGTAGGCCGACAAACATTAGCTACACCCCCAATGGGTAAGACAGGAATGGTGCAGACCTGTGACACTCATTCTTCTCTTGTCTCTCCCTCTCAATGTTTTCTCATTGCCCTAACGTGCAATTAATATTCTTCGATAAACAATAGACGTCCATTATCATCCATGACACAATCCGGTGTAAAATATCTTAAATAAATGCCTCTTATTAGATGTGCGATGTGCAAAAAAATCACAACCAAATGTTTCTTTCATGTAATTCTGAACCAAGATATACAGTGAGAAGCGCAGCGGCATGTAAAAATAGCACACGGTGCTATTGAATTCAGAAGTGAATAAAGTTATTCTTTAATGATGTATAAATCTTTGATGATGATGTCAACGCAGCAGCAGCAGCAGCAGCAGGAAACAGTGGAGGCAACTGCTTCTCAGTGGAGACGGAATTACAACCCTCTGTCGCTCTCTCCTGTTGAATACTGGCAATTGCAATGTTGGAGCGGTTGTGCCTTCACAGTGTAGGGCGTCTGTTATTTTATATTGTTTTTAATTGTTAAATGTATTTATTGACCGAGGTTAAGGGGTCGATTTAGAGGAACTATTTCAACACCAAGTACTAGCAACCTTTTTATATCTGAAATAGAACTACCTGAACTCTACTGTACTTCTGGTTGAGGGCAAGTGACAATTCCAACATAATTCCAGTGTGGAGAAGCTCCAGGGTCCTGACAGACCAGTCCTATCATTTTGTTCCTAGTTCTTGTGGTAACATCATGCCACAGCATAAGTCCAGCTCCAACCTAAAATAACCAACAAAAAAAAAAAATCATTATTATTTTCCATTGCAGGGGACGTCAATGTGGGCATGGTGGACAGAGGAGGGCAGCTGGAGGTGGAGGTCAACCAGGCCAGAGGGTTAATCCCCAAGCCTGGCTCCAAGAACATACCAGGTACATGAAGTGATGGATGAGAGGTCACACTCTGTGACCTTGATGCTCATGTACTGTAAGACCTTATAACTTCCGTTTTGCTTGTGTTTCATTTGTAGCAACATACGTGAAGGTGTATGTGCTGGAGAATGGTGTGTGCTTGGCTAAGAAGAAAACCAAAGTAGTCAAGAGGAATTTGGACCCAACCTACCAGCAGGGGCTGCTGTTTGATGAGAGTCCTCAGGGCAAAGTCCTACAGGTAAGTGGTTCAAGGTGCCTTTGGTTTTGGTTAAACACCTTGGAGTACAATGAAGTTTTGGTGTGCTCTGTGTTGAAGCAGTAAAGTTGACAATGACGTATGGATTATACCATTCAAAATACACCTTTGTACATTCAGTTGCATAGAATCAAAGAGGAGTGCAATTGCTTTAGTCAACAAAGGGCGTGAGGTGTGGACAAACATTAATCGTACATAATTAACGCTTATCTGTCTTGTGTTGCACTCATCAACAAGTTCAGGCCAAAATGTTGATAAGTGCAATTGCTGCCTTTTTTCAGCAGAGGGCCTGACGGGCAGAATAATGATTATGTTTTAATACAAAAAAGTGATATGAGGATAGTATCCACCCATCGTAACATATTGTACATGTTTCGGCAAAGAAAGATTTGATTAAGATTGTTTGAATTGAGCTATGAAAATACATGTTACATGAGTAGCTCCCAGACATTTTAATTTTCTAAAAGTAGCTCTGAGAGACCAAAAGGTCGGAGACCCCTGGTCCAGACTGTGGAAAAACTTTAATATGGACCTGTTTTAGAATTTACATTTTATGACCTCCTTTATATATAATAATATAATATATTATATATATAATATATTAATAATAATAATGCATAATAATCTTGAAACATTTTCAAATATTGATGTCTTTCTTCTTCCGTAGGTAATTGTTTGGGGGGATTACGGGCGCATGGACCACAAGTGCTTCATGGGAATGGCCCAGATCCTTCTGGACGACTTGGACCTGACCGCCACAGTCGGCGGCTGGTACAAGCTCTTCCCTACCTCCTCTTTGGCAGATCCCAGCATCGGACCCCTCACCAGACGCCTCTCCCAGTCCTCACTGGAGAGCGCCACCAGCCCGTCATGCACCTAAAAGCCCACACACAAACGTACGCAGGCAGAGTCATGCAGACACGGACACTTGTACTGTATATACACAACCACTGTATCTGACACGCAAGAAAGGTAGGCACACACACACACACACACGGTAATCTGTGCAGGACGACACGTACGACATCATATCTGCTCTGCCATAATGTCGGACAACACACTTTTACGTTCTCACCCACCAAACTACGTTTGTATTTTGAATATCATTGAGCAAATTCAACTATTTTAACAAATCATGTAGCATTTTTTAACCCTTTCATTCCAATGTTTACCACCAGAACACAACACCGACGCTGCGTGCCAAGAGCCCAGATCTCTGTGGCATGACTCACACCAGAATCATTCCCCATGCCAGTTTCTATACTCTCTCTATGCCAAACTAAGGGACAAAAAAAAATTTTTTAAACCAAAGCAATTGTTATCGTTGTTATTATTACTATAAGTAGTGAGTAAAGTAGTCTACAATATAAAGTATGGATATGTAGCAGAGTCAATGACTTAGATGTAATGCAAAAAAAATTAAATTTACATTCTACACGTGTGGACTGAGAACGGAGGGCCAGTCACACACCTGGACGACAGGCTGGGACGGTCGCATAGTGGCTATTATGTGAAGTGGCAGCACTGCTATTCTATTCTATCATTTTCACAGGGCAGAGTTTATATATAGATATACATATATATATAAATATATAGTTAAATACTTATTTGTGTTTATGTATGTATCGGCTGCAACCTGCATGTTTGCTTGTGACTGAGGCAAGTGCTTAAGTCATTATTTTTTTGCTTGCCTTGACCAATGTATGAGGGGTTTTTAGTGCCACCTTACATTGCAATCTGTCCTGATAAGAAGAGCACTGCACTGAGTAATGGAGAAGGATGATGGGAGGAGGGGGCGTGGGAGGGAGGTGTGGCTTTCAACACCATCTGCAGAAGAAGAAAAGAAACTGGCGAGCTGCACATTTGCTGAGAAAAATCTGCCTTCATGCAGAGAAGGGCAGACTATTGTACCGTTAGGCGTTCGAGGGAAATCCAGGGGGGGTCACAGTCTGTCCCTCTCGCTCTTTCTCTCTCTGTAAACCAGCACCGAGACCTATCTGAACTTCCTGTTGAATTCCCTGTGTCATCTTGCTCTTTGATTGCTCAAGGGAGGCGGCACGGAGTTGAACAAACCACTTGTCCCTGTCTCTAGTCTGGTCAAACCACAGTCAGACCTTCATCCGCAGACGAACATGCACAGATGATTCCACCTCCCACCCTCCTGGTGTCTCCTTGTTTGCTCCTCTTCTCTGACACACCCAGAGTGTAGCAGAGATTTTTTGTAAATGTGTGTACGATGTATTTTAACCCAGAGACGTGTGTCTTTGTGATATCTGACTATTTGCAGCGGTGTTACTAGCTAGCAGGGTGATTGTTAACCTGCCATATATGGTACTTTAACTTGTTTCAGGTGCAATATGTCGACTCTAACTGATTTCTCAGCAGTCTTGATTTGTATTTCCTGTCAGGCGGTGTTTGTTTTCAAGAAGGCACTTTACTGAAATATGTTTAAATACTTTACTAAAAATTATTAGGCCACTGTTTGATTTTGTCTCTACGGCACTCATCATCGCTGCGTATTTTAAATGTGTGCTGCATGGAAAAGCAGAGGTGCGGCTTCTGATCCATAGACTGCTTTATATAAATGTGCCATTTCTTGAGTTTTTAGTGAAACCACGACCAAAACGTCTACTGATTTACACTGTTTTCTTTTGAATCTTTACTCGTCCAGTACACCAGTTATGTCTAAGATCTGCCAAGGTCAAACTAGCCTGTTAAAAAAAACCCTGTGGTCAGGAGCTGGTTTTAGGTTTTTATTACAGTCACACACCGTCTCTACTTTTCTAATTTGTTTTCTGAAAAGATTTTTCAAGGCTTTTTGTCTTCTCGGCACCTGAACCTTCAATGGGAGTGTTGAGCTGATCTCAGTGTTGGCTCCAGATTTCTTCTTCACTTTGGAGTATTTATTGCTGGATCCTTACTCGTATGACTGTGTATGAAGTACATGTACGAACCCATTTTATTTTTGTTGTGGACAGCAGGCATGTTGTAAAAATAAGGACTTGTTTGCTTGGTATTTGCACACACCTTGTGATTATAAAAACAAAACATAGATGACAATTGAAGTGAAAGAACTTTGAAACACAGACAGGTGTGTTTATAGATCAGAGAACGTCTGTCACAAACCTATGACCCAGTGCGACCAAAATGATCAACTAAAATAGTTACCTTCCTTCTCGGTGTAGTGTGGGTGTTCTAAATGAAGGCACAGTTTTAGCCTGTGATGCATAACGAACAGTGATGTATGAGTGAGACATTTGAAAAGTCTAGATATTTATTAGATTCTTTTGTGTACTGCATCACGTAAAAATGATGATGATGATGGCTGTTCGGATTGAGTGTTAAAACCTTTTTTTATTCCATCGGGACGAGTATCATAAGAAAAAAAAATAGTCTCACAACATGATGTTTTTGTTTGAAATTAATGATGAAAACACTGCAGGGCAGGAAAAAAAGGAAAGATGGAAATGACTATAGCTGCAAGTAGAAAAAGACAGGGCTAAAGAGGATAGAATATTAACCACATAGTACTGATGCTTTGAAAAACAAAGACCAACTTGTTTTACTGTTTGTTGCCTAGTCTAGATTTTATTTTACCGGTTCCTTGCGTGACACCCATACGTGTGGTTGTGGCTTCCAGTTGTTTACAGGCTTTTGTGTTTGTGCCTTATGCTAACAAACCGACCTGTAAATTCAAATGTTGCTTTTGTGTAAACTTGGTCAAAGGTTTCCACATGAACTGAGGTAAACCAGGTAGTTACCTTCTGGAATGACCGCGGTGAATGGTTTCAGAATAATATTTCACTAACTGCTTAGTGTTGCTGTAGGTGAGAAATGATAAAGTATTTAAATGTTATTTAGTTCTTATTCTTCATCAGAATCAGCTGTGTTTGCAAACAGTAGGACAATTTGGTCTGTGTTGTGTTCTAGTGTAACCAGTGCTATGTGTTTAAAGGAACACGGACATGTGTTTGGACGTAGCCAGGGCTGGATGGCTCAGCTGGAGTGTCTCTGTCTTTGTTTCTCAAACATTCAAAGAAGATTTGAATGTAAAGTTCAGAAAATTAAAAAAAAAGTTTGGAATGTAACCCACACTCTTGCTTGTTTCCCAGTAAAACCCACGCTTTTCTACCGCTCCCTCAGTGAACTGTGTTTTGTCCTGAGTGTTCCGTCGAAAATCTATTTTATTTTTTTAAGAAGAGAGGATTTTAGAGAAGGAAGCTGCAGAGCCAGAGGAGCACTAAGGGTAAACTCTTTTGCCTTTTGACTTCAGTGAAAATGAGGGCTTGTTCATTTTACGATGGCCTTATTTGTTGTGGGAGGCGTTGCTTCAGACATTGTAGCACACAGCTGAGAGTTTCGACAATGGTATTTAGCTTGAACTATTGTACTAAAGTTCTATATCTGTACATGTATAGTTTTATGAATGTATTTCTTAATCCTTACTCTGAACTGAGGATTGAAAAAGTCTTTGTCTCGTTTGCTATTCTGTCTCTCGGGGACTTTCCAGGGAACTCACTGCTCTCTGCTGGTTCAGGTTAATCCCTGCTTTGACTGTACTCTACTGTCCTGTCTTCATTTAAAAGAACAGCTCTGCGATGGAAATGTGTATAAATTGTCTGCTGAAATGGATTTTTAATTTATAAAAATCACCATAACTTGTCCTGATTAAACAACACAAAGCACTGTTGCTCGAGGTAACCGAGTACTGCATTTAGAGTAATTCGGTCCAATATACACGATGCTTGTCCTATTTATTATCTGTAACTGTAGGAAACCCCAGGGCTGTTTGTTTTTCAGCTAACAATAAGCTCATGCTATTATTACCAGTGCTACGTAACATGAGCTGATTTCTCCTGAGACACAAAGTGGGTGTGTACCAGTCAGTCAAACGTGACTGTAAAACAAGAATCCAGTTGATTTTGGATACAATGTGTTTTAAAAAAAAGTTGAGTCATTTCTAGATTTAGTTAGATAGTTTTCTTGATGACAAAAGCTCTGCTCACAGAAGCTGCACAAAAATGGGATGGATTACTGAAGCGTCTGAACTTTAGGCTTTAGCTACCGACGGTAATATTAACAAAACATGGCCAGGTTAATAAGTGTTAATGTCAGTTTATATTCAAAATAACACCTCCAGTTCTGGCCGAAAAAAAAAAGGTGTTAGTGGAGGTGGTTGTTGTTTTCCTTCTGTAACGTGAGCTGTGTTTTTGCCTGCAGTCTGAAACAGTACTTGGTGACTTGGCACAACAGTGTTCTGTTCTGAAATGGCTGAATTTCTTTTTCTTTTTACACGTTTTATGTCATTATACAAGCCAATGGAATTGTAAATGATTTTTTTTGTGTGTTACTTTGAGCTACAAAATGGTGGCCAAATGGCTGCTCTGTTGTTTTTTTTTTTTGGATGAAGAAAATTGGAGAATTGAAGTGAGATACAAATCAACTGTCAGATATACTTGGTTCTAAAAGCAGCATGGATTTAGTCTTTTGAAATAACAATTATTTTGGCAATAACTCTTGGCTGTCTGCCCTTACTGCCGCTGGGGCTCAGTGTTGCATTCAGCCCTAACCAAATAATGTTGAGTTAGAGATATTGTCAAGCGTTCGTAATAATTTTCACTCAACCAAACATGGAGTACATTGTAATTTTGATTTATTATTTTTTATATTACTTAAAGTATTTTTTATTTTCTTTTTGAACAAAGTATGCATTCCACACCTTTGCCAATGTAGCAGGGCTCAACAAAACAGAACAGACGTCATAACCAACAACATCCAGCCAGCATTAACAGGTGAGACCTGTTTGCATGCAAAATAAGACTTGTATTGGTCTACCCACAGGTCCCACAGGGACTGGAATTAGGTTTGCACGCATGATACTTATGTAACCCAACGAAAAAATTGATACAATTTATTTCTATTCTTGTTTCTTATCTTTCATAATCTGCACAACCTTCCTAAGTATTCATTGTTTTTTTTTTTTTTTTGTTTGTTTTCCAAATGTACGCCCAGTGTAGCTTAACTTCTCAACGACAAGGCAACCTGTATCTTATCAAGCTCAGCAAAGCACAACCCTGACGAAAAAAACCACAGGCCTGATGTGAATCCACTCTCACTTGTTCTTTGTGGTTTTGAAATAAAATAATGGAGCACGGTTTTATTTCCAAGCACAAATGGGAGTTTGATGTCTTGGGGATGAAAGTACTAGAGAGTATTTGCTGGTGTTTGTACATTATCGGTTGTCTTTTCCTAAACAGGCCTTAACCTTTCACCTTCCTACCCCACTGTGTTCATTTTGAAGGGCAAAGCATAGCAGACTGTTAGAGAAAAGGATTTTGCAACGAAGAAAAAGGGAGCTGTAATTTTATACCTGTGCTTTGTAAATGTTTTCTATGTGCAGTATTTGATAATGTAAAACTGGTATTTTTGTGGTTTGTACGCTGCAAAATTGATTACTTAAGGTGCACGTAGTTTTGTAAGAAAATTGAACCAAACTGAGGAAAAAAAAACCCAGACAAGACCAGTTTCGGATTCAGAAGCCTGTATCTGCATGCCCTTTGACATCTGGACACACAGTCAATAAAGGTAATTTGAACCTAAGACTTCTGTGGTGTTAATTTCATCATGACCCCCAATGCATAATTCACTTCCTATTCATATATAATATCTGTATCTCCTCCTCTTTATATATACATATATACTGTATATATATATATATATGTATACGCTCTTTCTATCAAACAAAAAGTTCTAAGAGAGTAAACCAACTAAAAAAAAAAGAATGTGAATGTCAGCGGTCATCTGTAGGGGGCGCACTGATATTGGAACGTTTGTATAACGGAAGTAGGACTGCGTTGTACGGTCCTTATTTCCGTTTGTGGATTTGGCACATGACACATGAGTGGCGGTCTTCTGTTTTCCGTCATTAAAGATCCAGTTAGTGACATGGAAAGATTGACTGTGAAAACAACAAGAAAACACAAAATCTCCAGTAAAACAAAAAATATATACATTTATTTGCAAAGATTTTACAGAGTATGCCAGACAAAGAGAAAAAAAAAATGACTACGTGCAACGCAAGGTTAGTGACAAATTAGAAAGTGGCTGAGGTTAAAACCTTCCTCCTCACAGGTGTCAACCTTTACTTCCTCTCTAGGAAAGTCTGAGTGAAAGTGTACAGTTGTGCTTCTACGATGCAGAGTTGACATGTTGGTCTCAGCAGAGAAGGTGAGGCTGCTGCTGTCAGAGTGCTGCTTCAGCTGCCACTATATTTGAAAGAAATGAGGAAAATAGGTGTAGAAAATGGAGACAGCTTCTCTGAGCTGTGACGGTGCAGAAAAACTGACTGCTATGTTGTCAATGTAGCCTTTAATGCTATTTACTTTCTCATCCCGTTCTTCACATCACAAAAGTGCTTCTTTTACAATTTACAATAATGGCTGCATGCATTTTTGTTTTTTATAAAAAAACTAGTTACAAAGTAATTGGAATGGAGAGTTGGTCTAAAAAAGGAGATGTGGCAGGAGAAACACCTCTGGTTGTTCTGGTGGAGGTACGGATGAACGTTGACTCCCACGTGTTCATGTCATTCATGAGGCTTAACATGGGTTTGACTGTAGTTTGTTGGTTTGGCCAGTTCTGGCACTTGTTTTGTGTTTTGGCCTTATAATAACTTTTATGGGCAATTGATTTTTTTTTTGTAATAAGTTATAGGGTATTTGTATTTAATTTTCTCCTAAGTTTTCAGCTAGTTTCTTTCCTACTTCCATTTATTCATGTTGCTGTATTGTCAGCTGTTTCACAAATATATAATATTTAACTATTTATTTTTATTATTTATGTCCAATTAGTAGCTATTTCTGCTGTATTTTTATTTTTTTTCTCATTATTTGTGTGAGATTAGTTTTCTTTAACATATTGTCCTTGTCATTATCTGCTTTTTTAATTTTTTTTTTTAAATTTCTCCTGATTTAGACACTTTTTTCTGACTCTTTCAAAACTCAAAACTCTTTCCAATGTCTTTTAGCTATATGCTTAGGTTTATTAGGCTAATTCTCAGCTAACATCACGTTGTAAAGGTAGTATATTTTAAAGGCATTATGTTCCTTCCACACGTCTGGCTAAAAATGATCTGAACATATATCAGACAGAAATGTAATACATTTAGAGTAAACCCATAACTGCAACCTGACCGTAAGCAGACAGTTGACCCCAGAGCATTCATAAGACAAAGTGCACATAACACGAGAAGGTTAATAACAAGGAGACTCAGGTGTGTGTGTGTATATATCAAAACAAGTCCAGCACAACGGTGAACACATTCAGTACACACATTCATTAAGCTTCCTGTTGGCCAGGGCCAACGGTAAAGGATATGTACTGCAGAGAGAAACCTCAGTCCTGAGACACTTTCTCACATCTGAATGAGCAGAATCCGTGTGTTGTACTGTACATACAATCAAATCACAAAAGGCTAAACATTCTTTACATGCAATTCAGTGGAAGCTTTTGAAACATGACTACTTTGCGCCTTTGAGCAACTCTACTCTCTTTTCTCATTAAATCGCTCTCCATTATTTCTTCCACTGGCAAACATTAAAAAAAAAAAAAAAAAAAGCGCAGATGCCTCTGTTGTATAAGGCAGACTCTGGACTTAAGGAGTGTGAGGTGCCTCACTGCAGCTGAGGAAGTTACACAGTGAATTTCAGAAGCAGGGATAATCAAACCTATTACTGCAGGAGAGCTAAATGAATGGGTTCTATTTCTCACTACTTGGGAGACCATACAGTTGAACAGCCGTAAGAAAGCTAGGGCTAATCTTTGGTTTACCAAAATCTAAATCAGGCCTTCTGATGTAAAGGTTAAATAAGTTATGACTCCAAAACAACTGTGCTATAAATTGAGTAGTTCAGTGAATATGGTAGAACTGATACCAACTTACCATAAAGGATTTGAATGTTTTATGATAGTATTTAGGAGGCATTAAGTTATTTTTATTTAGCTTAAATCTGGCAAAACATCTACTGTCTAATTAAACAATTTATCTATAAATTCTTCCTCATCATGGTCACATATTGTTTCCATCTGCTGGACTCCTGCCCCCTCTGTATGTATTTTTTAATTGTCTGCATTATTAACCGGTGGAAAATACAAACAGTAGGTGTCTGTAATAAATGTTTTTGATAAACATGGTCCACTACGCTAAGATGAGCATTACAAATTGAAATATGCAAGTAATAAAACTGTTGGTTTCTGTTTAGAAAGGGACTGTTTGTAAATGTAAAGAAATGTTGGGAACAGCTTTTAATAATTAAACACTCCCTTCTCATCGTTGCTTTTTACAGTGAACACACTGTGCAAAGTTGCTGATGAAACAGCAGTAAGAGTGACTTTGGGCTCGGCCTACTAACAGTTCCATTGAAGTTCAAATGGAATTAGCCAACACTGTTGAAGGTAAGCTAGGATGAACTAATTGTGACAGCACTTTTGGGAGGATTAAAAACCAAATGTATCAGTGGGTTTTACTGACTTGAAAGAAAAGCTTATTGTGATCAGGTAGTTAACATTCCTCTAAACCATCTGTCTACAATTATAGTCTGACATACAGCAGGACGCAAAGGCAAAAGTGTTACACTTGCCTCTAAACCCTGCTGTCTTGGTCCATTTACCAGAGTGTTCTAAAGGCAAGCATGGAAATCTGGTCAATTATGAGACAAGAGAAGGAAGCATGAGCTTAGAGAAGAGAGAGAGAGAGAGAGAGAGGGAGAGAGAGAGGTAGTAGTCAATATAGTCTAATTCACAGATTCCTACAACTCTCTGTTCATCATCATTGTTGAAACCCGACTCGCTGGGAAAAAAAAGTTCATTTCCAGACATGTGCTGACGTATGGGATGAACTAGGGGCTGCTGAACTACCCATTTGTTGACTGCTGTAACCCCTCATGCTATTGGTGTTGTACATGTTGGCTCCAGCCATCTGCTGAGACATCTGAAACCAACAAAACACAGAAGAGAATTAAAAAACACACATATGCCGGCGTAAAACCAAAACCTAAGCTAATCCAAAACCAACCTGAGCGGTGTTCCACTGTAGCTGCTGCGTTTGCTGCGCTCCGTACACCTGCTGATGCGGTACTGAGGCTACACCCCCAACCTGCTGCTGCCCCATGATCCCAAGGTGCTGCTGTCCCATGACCCCGTTTTGTTGATGGGCCATCATTCCACTTTGCTGCAGTCCCATCATGCCCTGGGCCACCCCTGCCATGTAGGCTGGCCCCACCATGCTGCCGGGCTGAGCCATGACACCCTGTGCACCCATCATACTGTTTGGTTGAGCCCCCATCATGCTGGCCTGTTGCTGTCCCACCATTGCCATCTGTGATGTCATCCTGGCACCGCCCATACCACCCATTTGGGCTAAAGAGTGGTAGGAGCCATAGGGGTGTGTTGGGAATCCCATCTGGTTCATGTACAAACCTGCATGAATAAATAGACAATAAGACAATTATTTTATACTTACTAACAGTCAGAAATACTGAAACTAAATGATCTCAGTCACATTGAATAATGAAAAGAAAAATCCAGTAGATTGGACCATATTACAGAATAATAGTACGGCAGAATATATTCATTAGAAAAGTTATTTTTTTCTTTCTAGCTCTACTAGTACAATTCATGAATGGATTTTCTTAAGCCAATTCTTCCATTCAATATCTAGGTGTTCCACTAAACAGGATCAAAATTCATATTCGAACAACAAAACAACTTTCCGTACCCTATTGTTATTTAATTTTAATGTCAACATTAGAAAAGTTCCATACAAGAATTCTTCTTCATTTGAGCTTTACACATAACCATCGACTTCACTTGGACTATACAGTAAATCCAATCATCTCTGGGACTTACTGTAGGTCAGACACATTTTTCCTGACATAATCAAGTTTTTTCTCCACGACATTTAGAGTTTTTTATGCCTCTGTGACATTTTATTTTACGATTGTGCTGCAGGCATCTGTAGGCCACAAGTTTAGGTTTGACATACTGTATAGAGCTCAGAAAAAACCCTTTCTTTTTCTGCCACTAATATGGAGGTTAAAGTTAATTATTATTATATTATTATATATATTACGTTGGTTATTTAACTTCAACTTGTTGCCTGCATTTTCTTCCTCACATTTTTGTTTTATGTTTCCTGAAAAGTTTTTTTTTTTCTGCCTGTGCTACATCACTGCTCTGTCGTCGTCACATTGCTGAGTTTAGTGAGTCATAGTCTTTAGGCAGAGCCCAGAGGGGCAGGACAGCCCTATTGCCCCAGATCACTGGACCGAGATTATGATGGAATAATGAAATTGTACCAAAAGAAAAATCCTGCCTCCTGAAAGGCTTCCTAGAAACCTGCAGCAATCCTCACCGTGAGTAGCCAGACTGCTAGCGTGCACTGAGGGGGTGGAAGCATACAGAGACAGAATCGAGTCCTTGGACAGTTTCTTGACAGTGCCTTCTCCTGCTTTAGGCGCTGAATCCAGGAACAGGCTGAGATTTTCAGGCACAGATGCAGTCACTCTGCTTTGAGGCATGAAGCTGGAGACGGACTGGCAGGGGCATGGAGAGGTAAAAAAAAAAAAACAAGTCACACAGGTACAGTAGGCAGCAGTCCACAGTATGTACAGTGTTGTAATTCCTACCGTTGATTCAGAGGAGGAATTTGGCATAGAGCTGAACAGATCCAGGCCAGAGTGTGCCTGAGGGGGCACAGCTGGGCTCTGGTTACCGTGTGGTACACATTCACCACCATTAGACACCACAGGACTTGGAGCCGGGGCATCTAGTATAAACAGAGAACTGTGTAAACCTATAGTGTTGCGTTAGTGAGATAAGGTGACATTTAGACAATATGTGGAGGGATACATTTACATTATTCCACAGAATGTGTTTGTGTGAAGCAGGATACCTAAACCCAGCAGATCTGTCACAGCCTGGGAGTCCGTCTTTGGGCTGATCTCTTTTTTCTGTCACGACAGAATGGACGTGATTCATGAAAAGCAAATCTCCATGACACACAAACCAGAAACCATCTGAGAAACAGGGTTGACAATTTTCAACAGGTGAAAAGTAGGAGTGGCACCCCCCACTTTGGGAACCACTGCACTGTAGACTACATTGAGTTTAATTAAAGAGATCCTAAGCAATGGTTGTTCGAACTGCATGACGATCTTCCATCAATAATACATGTGTTCTGTCTCCATCAGTCTAAAACTGATGCTCTTTAGCCGTGATGCTGCCATTAAAAGCCACGGGAAGACAAAAGCACTCACTCACCAGTTTCATCTTCTCAAACACGACCGGTTCCTTGGGTATATTTTCGCAGCTCTTTTCCTTCTGCGCATAAAAACAAATGTGCTCTTCACTCTCTGCTGGATTACCATGTTTTCCTGTGTGTATAGTAACATGTGATGTGAACACAATTGTGTGTGAGGTGTGTCTAAACTCACTCTGAGCATCTGGATGTCAATGACCTTGTCCATGTATTTCTTCTTATCGTACTTGTCCCGAATAAAGACCTCTGCGGACTGGTCCGTCTCAGGGCGCTGGAAGCACTCAGGTAAGAAGGCCTCGTAAAGACGTTTGGCCTTGGCATTTCCCATTTCCTGAACGCACTGGTGATGCAGACAAGCACGTAACACTTGAAGTGACCTTATCATACAAGTATAACTTCTCATTTTAAAATCGGTGAAAATCATCTCATATCAATCATCTCTGTTTTACACAGGGAGAAATATTTCTAGTCTCCGTGCCTATGAGTCAAGGTGAGCGGTATATTGTACATATAATGTGAATATAATGCTGTGGTAAATGCACATCCTGTTCTTTCTTCACTCGTCAGTGCTGTCCTGTCCTTGAAGGATACAGTTACAAAAGGCCAATAAAATGGGTTATTTCTGCTGCTCTGCTGCTTCACATACAGCTGATTCAGGAAAAGCTTTTATTTAATGATGTTAGACTGTAAAGAAAAAAAGTAGCCTTCAGTACCTGACCCACTAGATCGTTGAAGATCTTGAACAAAGGTTTAAGTACCATTTTTTATCAAGTCAATGAATATATTAGCTTGATTTAGAAAGTTAATAATAACTTTCTTTATATGACCAAGACTACTTTGAGTGGAAATTCCCTGACTATTTCAAGCAAATCCATTTACTGTATACATTTTATTTATTTTTTATTTATGAGAGAAAGTAGAAGCGGAGTGAGGAGGGGCAGAGTGAGGGTGGACATGATTAGTTACTGTGATTGACAGCAGTTGCTGACCACAGTGTTACCTGAGGTGTGACCACTGACCTGAACCTGCTCCTGTGTCCACTCATCCAGGTTCACAGATTTGACCTTGGAGATGTGAACTCCCAGGTTTCGATGGATTCCGGCACAGCGTATACAAATGAAAATGCCCAAATTCCAGGACGCCCATCTTGGACCTGGTCAAAATAAGAACGGACACAAACAGGTGGGTTAGTAACACTGGTGTTATGAGGTTGACACATGGTGGATTTCACTCCATTTATAGTAAGACAAGACTGAAACCTCAATTATGAGTTTAAATTCAGCCAGGAACTGAACTAATCCTGTGGAAGTCCTGACTCACAACTGGATCCAACAAGACAATTACCCTACATAAGTGACACACACAACCCACCCCCCCGGCTATCCACAGAGATTCATTCTCATTCAGTCCCAGGTCTACATGCACATGACATCGTCAGACAACGTTTTCCTGCCATATGTGTTTTTCTAGCACTGTCAGCGCCACATTTAGCCCCTTGCTACTAGTGTTTGAAGTACAAATAGCGTTGTCTTGTTTGCCTCGGTGTCGGCTTCTTCATCTGCAAAGCTGTCAGAATCTTTGTCTTAACTCAATCACACGAGGGAGAAATAAAAACAACATTCTTGGTCTTTTTCCTCTTGCCTTAATAATGCAACCACCCTCTTCAGACATCACAGGCAGCTTCAAAGGGAATGCTGAAGCTTCTCCCCCCCATTGATCTACATCTATCTTCTCATCGCTCTGTTCTTCTGTTCTCCCGCTGCCCCCTGCTTCTTTTTTTCCACTCTTATTTCCCAAAGTGTGCTTCAAGTGCTTGCATGCAACCACGGCACAAGCAGCTGCACTGTGGCCTTTACACCACCAGGTGGCAGGTGGAAGAGTAGTCTAAGAGGAAGCAGTGTTTAGAAAGGCGGATGTATGCTAATGTTACAGGAAACTGAGTTTCAGGAAAGAACACATGCAAAAACCTTCCTCTTTGTGTCAACACTAAAAACACAGCCAGAGTGAAACGGCTCTGCCTCTGCCCTTATTACATGGTGGACACAACTGTACCATTTTACTGTTATGTTTGAACCTACTAGACAGACTGTGCTTACTTCTGCATTTTAGAAGTAAAAGTATTACCCAGAGAGCTCCGGGACAGACAGCGTCCATCTCCCTGACCTGAGTCTGAGTGCTGGCTAATAATAGCCCAATTATTCCTGCAAAGCCGGACTAAATGCTGTAAACGTTGGCACCGCCACAAAGTAAGAATTGATTATCAATTATTTTCAACTCCCTGAACAGGAATTAGCTCGTCCTACTGACTTTCAGAGTTTCCCGGGCACCAAGTGTAATCTCTCACATTCCCCACTCTTCTCTCTGATGTCTCTCTGACACAGGGCTTCATTTTGGGCCTCCACCTTTTCAAACAGGACATTACCCATGTATGGGTTTGTCTATTTGCTGCATATTCCTATTTGGATAATAAAATAATATGTTAATTATTTTATTATGAAGCGTGTTATGGTGTAATTCTTGAATTCATTGAGTTTGTCCAGATGTTCTTTGGAGGACGGAGGATCGCTCTGCACAAGTTATGGTTTCCAATTTACAACAAATTCTGACCCCTGTAGGTAAATAAATCTACCCATCATCAGAGTGAATGACCTGTCATTCTATTGTACTCCCCCCCCTTTGAATTGTATGTATGATCTGAAAATGCCTATACTTGGATTTTCATCAATTCAGTAGTGAAGATGCAAACTTTAAACATTCAAAATAAAATGAATAATTTTCACCACAGTAGTCTTGTTTTTAGCGAAGCGTGACTCAGGGTGTGCAGTATGTCGGTCCAGCAACAGTTTACTCCTCCATGTACTTTGAACAGATTTAGTAGGTAGAGAGTGGGAGGAACAGACATTTAAAAAGGGAAACAGTCTCTTGGAGAGTTTACATGGCAGTGCTCATTTCTCTGCCTCTGTTCTCGTCATCCAGTCAACCTCCACACACTACACTTGAGTTACAGCAGATATTTCAAACTTCACCAATAAATCAGTTTTATTGTCAAAGGTAAAAACTATGCGAGCTGAAAGATTAGGCCTGGCTCCGGATGAATCAGAGAAAATTAATGACCCTGGCTGTCAAGCTCGCAGCTCGAGGCGCATCAGGGGAGGAGCAGGCTGAGACAGGGCGAGAGCTGAAAACGGAGGAAAAAACAGAGTCATCAAATAGTGGACGTCAGCTGTTTGATGACCTGCTGCGATACACTGGGACATGGTGAGAAAGAGGCTCACTGAACAAACCGCTCTATCAGGCAGCCACCCACACAAGGACACCTCTATTTGCATCACGACACGTGTAAAAACATGTCTTTGATTCGTCCTCTAAGGTGATAATCCTTTATTGAATTTAAACAACCTTAATGAACAGGAAGATTTGATTTTCTACCTGGGACCAACGGTTTTCAAATCAAATATTTTTTATATTTTTTTTTAAATAACAATTTGTCCTGAATTTCATACTAGTTGCCAATTATGAGGAAAGGAAGATTCCCACTTCCTCCCACAGTCTGATCTCATTTTGAGGGTATTCTGGAAAAATATATCTGGAAAAAAACACCCAACAAATATTTTATTTTTTTTAACTAATAACCGTAAAAAGTAGTTACAGGGTACTTTTGTTTTGACTGATATATTTAGGGAGGCTGTTGAACCTAAATGTTCTGTCTTGGTCTGAGAGGGTGCAAAGAAAGTGTCTCAGCTCTGCCTTGATTGTTGACGACGTCTGTAGAGTGTATTTCTCTACAGACAGGAGAACCCATCATCAGTGTTCCATACTTCATTGTCATCACATGGCCTTTTTAAGAGCAGCGATCAACACGCAGCATGAATAATTAAAAAACAACATCTTATGACTATGATGCACATAAACATCCAAAGGGATCAGGGCTTTTCCCAGCTGGTGAAAGTAGCGTTGATTATTAGTGGGGTAATTTCAACACACAGTTATACTGCACAAAAGTAATATCACAAGAGTCAGAATCAGCTCCAAATCCAAGCAGTGGTGATTAGGAAACAGAACTGCAAGAAGGAGAACTTTATCTGTGGCAGCAGGAAACACCATTAGTCAAGAGGATGACAGTTTTGCACAATGACATGGAGGCAATTTTATGTGCACAATGTCACAAAACTGTGTAGATGTGAGGTAGTTCTAATTAGTGGGACAATAATTATGCTAGATTGTGCAGCTTTAGCTTGATATATAAACATTTTACCTATTTTTTTTTTAAGATTTCCAGTGTTTCAAATATTATAATAATAATAAACAACTAGAAAGAAAATATATTCATGAATAGATTTCACAATGTTCTTGTGTAAAATTACACATGCAAAAATGGTGTATAAGAATTGTGTAAAAGAATGGCCTCACCTGTGTCCACATCTGAAGTACCTAACATTTGTATAATTTAAGTCATACTTACTATCCTGTTTATGTATTTGTATTTATTCCTAATAATATACTGCAGTACGATCCTCAAGGCCCTCAGTGCATTTCAATCAGTCCAAATAGCTTAAGGCCAGCCAGTGACCCAGTCTCCATCTGAGCGAACAGATGGAGACTTGATTGATAAATTACTAATACACACCCACCATCTGTGTGAGAGCTTTAGCGACATGACTGTGATCCTTCAGGTGAGTCACTGTGGGTGACTGGATTATACAGTACATTCAAAATGAGTGGGATACTTTCTACAGTTTTATCGTCTGTAGCTGTGACCATCAACTGGTAGAGCCTCAAATGATTAATTCTGCTCACGGCCCATGACCAAAGGACCGGTACCGGTCCACAGCCCATGGTTTGGGGACCACTGTTGTCGATGACAAAAGACACAGTAGCTCTGTGTTTAAAAGGCCCCACCATATGAATTCTAATGGGCTACTGTTGTCCTACTTATTTATGTTTTTTACCCAGATACTGGCTACGTGTCTGTACTACAGCACCCAATCCATTGGGTGGCACTGTGTGACTCTGTCAGCCAAAGGAATTGAACGCTAAACCTCCTTCCTGTTTCAAGGAAATCTCTGCTGTATGCTGATTGGAAGAGATAATGGGATGGAAGGGTGAAGAGAGTGGGGAGGAGGAGGAGGAGGAGGGACAAGGCATGACATCACCAGGTGATATCTCCACAGCAACCCAGGCCTGGTATGTACATAAACACAAGTACAATAGAGACAATAAAGGAGGCAGGCTTTTATGCAGGCACAACATACACACACACACACACACACATGTACACACATACACTCATCCCCTTGAGACCAGGCAAGAGGTGAAAGACTACATTATGCACTTGCCTCAACCTCTCTTCCACCATCTCCTCATTAATGCCTGTGAGTGTTGAGGATTTACTGTAAGTCACGTTGAAACACAGTGATAAAAAAAAAAAAAACAGAAACCAGATAACAGAGGAACTGCAGGCAAACAATTGGAATGAAGGGCAGAGGAAAAAAAAAAAAACGTGGTGTAAGGTTTTTTTCACGTTATAAACAGGAAACAGAAAATGCCTGCTAGCTTTATGTTCTTGTTAGCATGCACTTCGTCCCATATCTCACCACTTCCTCCTTTTATACCCAGAGGGCAGAAAGTGATAAAGATGCAGCAAGCTCAGTCAGAGCAAACAAGATTAGACCAAACCTCATCACGGGCCATATGGCCAAAAGCCTGAGTCAGGAGACGGGGGAACGGGAGACACATTCGTGCACATGCATTAAATTGTGCATGTTTGGATTTGCAGGAGTGGGTGGTTGTGACTGAAATGCACAGTAGAGTAACACTTACACCTGTGAAAAAGTAAAACGTGCAAACAATGTAGGAGGTGAATCAATCAAACTTCTCACATTCTCCCCCTCCTCGTTCTCAAGTTAGCTTCTGCTGGGGAACGTCGCAGAATACTTGAGTTTGACATTAAAATTCTCACAATGAAGCATATCTAACAACTACATATGTACTGCTAGCCTTCAATAGTACAGTTTTATCAGGTTATTTAGATGTATGTCAAACATAAGCCTAAAAGCAAATAATAAATACTTGAAAAAGTGAGTTAAAAGTTAGAAAAGGAGGTTGAATTCACAATAACAAAACTTTGCTCCTGTCCACTTCCTGTCCAGCTCTTCACAAATTAGCAATTTCTAAAACGCAAACACTTTGCCTTTGTTGATGCAGTCAAATGACCTGATGAGCTGGGAGACTGCTATTCAAACTCAACTACTGTACAGTCCCAAGTTCGTTTGCTCCAAGTCTGTGTATTTGTGACCCGTTCAAATACCATTCAGAGGGCCGTCAAACAAAGCATTGACAACATCTTGACTGTGTGTGTGAATCCATCCAACCAGGGCTCAATTATCACAGCACTGAACAAAGGAGATCTGTTTACTTTCTATTTGTGACATTGTGTCACAGTGTGCACCAGTGTTATGAACAAGGCTGAAAGATAACTTTCTGTCTCACAAGTATAAAAACACTCTCTACTACTGTGATACTCTTATTTTCTTTCTGAAACATTTGAGTCTAGAGCAAAGGAAGCGGTCACAATCCATTTTTTTAGACGTCAATCTGACCATGCTTAATGTTTCCTATGAAATATTTAGTGATGCTCCATCAGCATCACAGATATTTTTCCCTTGCATTTGGCAGCTAAATAACCTGTAGGAGATACAGATCTGCAGACGCAGCAATAAAAACCCATCTACTGGCAGACAGAAGTGACTACACTTTAAAGTCAGTAGTTAATAATAACCTGACAACATATTTATCTTTAGAAAGACAGATACATTGGATAGAAACTAAAATTGAAGAATACTCTAGGTCTGGTTACATTTAAGACCTGGTTACACCAGCACAGAATACTAACAGTACACATTTTTGGTATAAGTGTAAAGTTTATGTTAAGGTTGTGCATTTATGTCAACTACTATAGTTCTGACCAGAGCAGAGAATGACGTTTTGGTCTCAAGGTCAAGTTGAATTCAGGGACTATTAAACGGACATCTTCAAAGTCTTTTTGGAGATGAACCATTTTTGGTTTTTCATTCACTGGACGGGAAATGGCATCACAAGGAGAGTCATCAGTTTCAAGTTAGCTGAGGTTTGGAGGCAGGCAGTTCTGATACTGCACTTGTCCATTGTTTATTTACAAAACAAATGACTTCTAACTAATGACTGGAACACAGTTTTCCTATTTCCTATTAAATTGTGACTAAATGTATACGGAATCTTCACAATTCTTTTGTCAACGTATTTTTTTTTTAAGTGTCTGACTGGTACAACAGGTTGAGTTGCTGACAAACTGAACCTACAGACACTTGTATGTTAAACAACCAGAGGGGACACAATACAAATAGAACAGTCTTAACCACACTTCTTACATGGTTGTAAACGTCAACTAAAGGAGCAGCAGAAAAGATGCTGAAAAAAAGCATCACAGAGAAAGAAAAACTTTAAATAAGGAAACAAAGCAAAGTTAATAAAGCCAATGTTATACACTGTTGTTGAAAAGATTCTACAAGTTTAGAAGCTTATATTTATTTATTCTGCATTTAAAATCTCACAGTCTAGAGCTACTGCTGAATGTGCATGACAGGGGTTTCACCAGGCAACAATTTTAAGATCAACGCTCAACAGTGCACTGGTGCCATATTTTTCATTGGTTTTTTAGCAAGTAGTATGACGGCGTGACTAGTCATCTGTATAACCTGTGAAAACATCTCTCAATGACTCAGTCTGTGGGCATCACAGACCATCGATCTTCTCAAAGCATCGGTCTGCTCAAAGCAGCTGTTCGTTCTGTCTGTAGACGAATGTTATCACAGTTTTAAAGCCGGCGACTTTAGAGGTTTTAACTAAGAACCAAGACATTCCCTTCATCACATTTGCATCACCTTTCCATCATCGCATTTGCTCCTATTGATGCGTCATGTTCTCGTCATCCACTAATCAGTGCTGTTTGACAGTAGTATTCTGATGTTAAGAATACAGAGCGTGTGAGGATATGGCCCCGTGCCCTGCACCCTGTTAAGGTGTAATTGGCCGAGAGCTGATGAATGCAACGCCGCATTTTACAGTGTAGTAAACGAGACTTGTGCTTCGATTCACAAAAGATAGACTGCAAATAAATAAAATAAAAAATCCATTTACCTTTCGATTCACAGTCAGCGCAGTATTTATTCTCCTCCTGGGCCAACAAAGAGTTGAGGACAGCCTGGTATCTGTCAATGTCTTTCACAGATTTGCCCGTCGTCATTGCACCGGTGCATCGACTCCTCCTCCAGAGCGCACACTGTCCGTGCCGGCTATTGTTGCACAGCCTCTTGTATCACAAAATGAAAGGAACGAGTGTGTGTGCGTGCGTGTGTGTAAGCGCAAAGGCGATGCTCTTCTTCCTCACGGTTGGAGCTCAGCGTGTTTACTTCACCACAATGGGATGACTGCCCTTGAGCCAAGCAGCACACGGTTCACTGGAGTTGCACAGAGAGCTGTGATCGATGCGTAAGGTGGGAGAAATGGACCATGTGACTGATCAGAGTCAAACATATACATCTGTACTGTAACGCTGGTACTGAATCATGATCTCTGTCTCTCTCTCTGTCTCTCTCTCTCTTTTTCTCTTCCCGCATATGCAAAGACCTTCACTTTTTATTCTAACGCATTCCCTCGTCATTGAAAAAAAAATTAAATCCCTCAAATTGAAGGTATACTATCTTACTGATAAATATTTTGCTTATACTGCCATCTTGAGGTCATTTATTACATTTTATAAGAAACAGGTCTAAGGGCTCAAGTGATGCCCCTCCAAGACGCTGGGTGGCGACAAAACAAATTATCACGCATAATCGAGATGTCATTAGACGTCAAGCTAACAATAGTACTAGCGGAAGTACGTGTAATCTTTTTTATAACTACTAGTTTTAATATAAGTTGAACATGTCAGTAAAAAGACATGAAACAAAACATAAAATGTAAACATATCCACAACACTACAGCTATTTTACCTACATTCGCTTCTAAAGCAACCTTATTTAGAGCTTTATTTCGGGTTTATTTTACGTATTTACCGGAAACATGTATTTAATCTCGCTAACTTTCCTTTAGCGGAAGTGAGCGACAGCACGAGCAAATGCGGAACTAACTACCTAAGCAGAATAAAATAATAAAAACTATTATCCATTCGACACATTGTAATAATTTAAAACTGTCCACAATGTCCAGGCAGTCCAATCGAACAGCAGACAGTAAGAAGATGGTAAGTGACAGCTGTGGCATGAACATTAGTAGAATAAAGCTGTTAAATGATGCTCGCTGTTGCTAGTTAGCTTTTCGATCATCACTATGTTTTATGTATTTTCCTTCTCCCGTATGTGATGTAGGTTTAACCCTTTATTTAACATTACTGAAATAGTAGTAAGAAGTAATTCATGGAAACATCCGAATTGACATTTTGAATATGATTGTAATTAATGGCATATTTAGCTCCAACAGACGTACGTCCCCGTCTTATAGTTTATATTTAATTTTAGAGTTCACGACTCCTGTCGAGCAAGTTACAAAATATGTTTGGAATGATTTTATCCAAATAAAAAATGTTTAAAATTCACGGCAAACCATCTACCTAAATTATTCTGCACTTATGTGGTTAATTACGATGTGTTTAAGACGTTTACTAAAGCTATTCTAGAAGTTTGAACGTTTGTAAAGATATATCGGCCTGCCTATGCATTATTTGAGCTTTTAACCGAAGTCACCTCTTTTTTAAAAAATATGTCAACCTTAAAAAATGAATTTCTGGTGTGAATCGCATTTTATACAGTAACATCAGATTTCAGCACCGGGAGCTGTCCGCACTTTTGCCCAAAAAACCCTTTGGGCAGAAAATATAACATTCTAAATTCCAGTGCTGACTTTATTTTTGCAACATGAGCAGTAAAAAGGCCACTGTATACATGCTGTAATGTTTAGTGATCATACGCATATCCCTGTTTACAAAAAAATAAAAATAAAAATACGTAGAAAAGAAAAACATTTACATTTTTTCCTTCATACTCTTCCACTGCTTTTAGAACTCAGAGCTCTTCACTCTGACATATGGGGCTCTGGTCACTCAACTGTGTAAAGACTATGAGAATGATGAAGAAGTCAATAAACAACTGGACAAAATGTAAGTTATGACATGATACTGTATGATTTGATTACATTTTGCATTCCTGATGGATTTAATTGAAGATGTCTTTTAATTAAAAAGATAAAGTTCCCACTGTCCAAACTGGTAGTTTCAAGCCAAGTGGACAGATTCACGAGATTGTGTCAGGATCAGAATATATCCTTTGGCAGTCTAGATGCGATTACTTCTAGTCTTTATTTCATGGTTTATGAGGCATTAAAGCGTAGGACATTAGCTGTTAATAGTACAATGTCATTAAGTCTGAGTCTCCATAGTAAAAAGAAAGAGGCACACACAAACTTGGTTGTTCTTTTATTTTTCATCTGCCTTCCACTGCTTCACAGGGGTTATAACATTGGAGTTCGTCTCATTGAAGACTTCCTGGCACGCTCCAGCATCGGCAGGTGTCAAGATTTCCGAGAAACAGCTGACGTCATTGCTAAGGTAATTGCAAAAGTGACACTTGTCTTACAACACTTATTTATCACATGTTTTATAATAAATATACAAGTCTGATCTCAATTTTAAGTTAAATGCGCTTAATTTCTATTTTAAGTGTAAAAATCACCTTGTAAAAACCCATTATGTAAATGGCAGACTTTAAGCCTTTTTTTTTCTATCTTAAGTTGACATCCTGTCATGTATTGGATTTTAACAGGTTGCCTTTAAGATGTACCTGGGAACAACTCCCAGTGTGACCAACTGGAGCCCAGCTGGAGATGAATTCTCACTCATCCTAGAGAATAACCCACTGGTGGACTTTGTGGAGCTGCCAGATAATCACAATACACTGATATACTCCAACCTGCTGTGTGGGGTCCTCAGAGGAGCGCTGGAGATGGTAAAAAAAGAATATCTGGTAGTAATAGAGAATACAGAGGGTGCTTGACTTTTGTCGGGGTTCGGTTCCTAGCGGTGATGTAGCTCAAGTTTACATACAATTATATATATGTAGGAAAAAAACAATAGCGGACAGCAGTGAAGACCACACAAAGTGTGTTGTTGAATTCTTTTTACTCCTTAACAAGACTTTAATGTAATTTATACATAGCGGGTGTGGCGTCATAACCTCAAAACACCGTCGGTCGATGACAAGGTTAACAAAGGTTCTCCTGTACTTTGTTTTTTGGTGCAATCAAACTTAGTGTTTTTGCTTTAGGTCCAGATGGCGGTGGATGTGAGATTTGTCCAGGACACGCTGAGAGGAGACAACGTCACAGAAATCCGCATGAAGTTCATTAAAAGGATTGAGGAAAATCTCCCAGCAGGAGATGAGTGACGTGGTGTAGTGTTTTACAAGGAACGTGTTCACTTACAGACTGAAAGGATGAATCACCTGAAGTTCAACACATCAGCTTGGGTGATACATGGCAACATTACTGTCACTTTCCTTTCTATCTTTATGTCAGGTAAGAGCTCTCAATTAATGTGGCCGCTCTCATAATAAAGGAGAAAGGAAGGAATACGTTTGATGCCATAAAAACACCTACAGTAAATATTTTGACATCTAGTTTTATGGTGCTGATTAAAAAGGCCGGTGGTCGGTAAAACATTTAAGATTCATGAAGGAGAAATAAAACAAGCTGCAAAATCATAACTCTACCTGGAATATATTTTGGCTGACAGGGTGAAAGATGCTGTGGACCACAATCTTATGTAATACTTTATACTAAAATTTCATGTTGTGATTCACATTCTATTCCTCATTCCTTATTTATTTGATCATGTGTCTAGCCCTAAAACACGGCCATTTTTAAATCTAATCCATAATCTAGTTCTTTCATTTGCTGACGTAGTAATTTATGTACAAAGACGCAAATAAATGCAACAGATTAGCTTCAGAAACACCTCACTTCTCAGTTTGTTTTCTTGACATTGAGCAGTTCTAACTCACAAGCTGGACCTTGTGTCCAACATGTCACCTTGTCACTGCTGCAGTGTCCTGTATGAGTGTTATGGTGTCGGAAAACCACGCACACTCTGTAAAGGCCAACAGCAACTGAACTAATTTCTTTTTTGTGTTTGTTTTTTAACTTTCATGGAAAGTAACTTGCGTGTTTGTGGTCGCAAAATGTGTCTGTCTTGTGTGTGCATGTATCATGAACATTCACAGTTGGCACACCTGTGAATGTTATGTCGGCACAAGGCTACTGAACACCTCATCAGTGATTATGAACACACTGAAAACGCATACAGACACGTCATCAAAAGAACACTCAACAACAACATTGCAAATTTATAATTATGTACTAATAACTACTAATACTAATAATGGTGATATTTGTTTCAGGTTTCCTTTTGGTACACACTATTAGCTCCTTAGTTAGAAGCCCTGAAATTCTCAACATATTTTGGGGTTTATTCTGTCATCCACCACCAGAGGCTGCTGTTCTCATTGAGTTCTTTCCGCTAAAGGCTGCATATATCCCTAGACCTCTGTCATTTAACATTCTTTGACCAAAGATGGTTATTGTAGGAGAAATACATTCCTTTATTTGTGAGCATGGTGTGTAGTAGTTCATTTGTCTAAGCCCACTTCCATTTTGTGAATAAGGATTCTGGGTAATCATTAGAATTGTTTAAAACATTAAATATTTGAGGCATTTTAATAGTGGTCAGCATGCAATACACCTGGTGGTTGTTTTGATGATCTATATTTCCTGTAGAATCAAGTTGTTCTTCGCTTACCCAAAGGTTAATAACTTGACAGTGGATGTTGAATCAATGTTTAAACACCTATTAAAAACCACATAAAAAAAGAGATAAATGAACTGCAAATATCCCTCGGCAAATGCGAGAATCGCCGTGTCACTTTTGTTCCACAACCGATCACCAACAAGCCTGTTTATAGTTGATTGTTTCCGAAGCTCTATCCATTAAACGAGACTTTCAAGGATCCAAACAAATGTAACAGTGTTATGACTTTTCTCCTTTTAACCTGCACATCTGAAATTTCCATTCCGTTTGCAAGTTCAGCAAATGAAAACACACAGGCACACACACAAAAAAATGAGTTATTATGAGATTCTTCATGAGCCACGAGGAGTTGCTTTGAAGATGCTATTTTTATCTCTTATTTTCCCTTTCTGCGTCTTTCTCTCCCATCTTTGGGTTAGTGTTAAGAAACCACGCATGGACATTTGCACTCTGGATCCTGAGCATTTTCCATCACTCATTCGTAACACACACACACACACGGTTCAGTGTCTTCCATTGATTATATATTCTTCAGGAAAGTTTATTAGTACAGTCCTGGGAAGCAAGTAGCAAATGTTATGAGACAATGCACGCCGAGCTGCTTTAAGCCAGCTAAATGTTAACATGTGGCCTTCATGAGAAACAAATGGTGAGAGGCACGCCGTGACAGTAAACCCCAGTGCAAAGCCTGGTGTTGACCCATACTTTTTGACTACTGCGCCCTTTTCTCTTTCAACATCTTCGTTAACTGTTATTTTAGTTTTCCATGCTGAGTTTCTTGAAGTTGTTTTCCCTGTGTTTCGCCAAAGGCTAAAAACATGGGTGTTTGGATGCAGAAAGAAAGGCAGGAATTGCTGTT